CTTATCTTTTAGACAGTTCTGTCTGTTTATCAAAATGCCTACTGTTTTCCTTTAACACGAGAAGAAGCTTTTATTTCTTGGAATATTGCAATACAAAATTGATCAAAAACATCGAATTTTAAAATTTCAAGTGGGCGTGTACCTGCTGAAGTGGAGGTAAAGCCAGGAAAAGTTTGAGGAATTGCATTAACATATCAATTACACCGGTCAACTTTTTTTTTCTTTTTTTTTTTATTTTCCGAAGATTTGACAATGGTTTCGGAGTAGATTTTTGGCGATGATTCCAAAGATCACCTCCATTTACCTGTATCAGTGCGACTTATCCCGAGAAAGTTCGGAATTTTTCCGGAGAAATCGGAATTTCCCTTAAAAATCTAGCTTTTCCAGCAGAGTCTATCTTCCGGGAGAATCTGTGCACGATGGAAAAAACCTAGGAATTTTTCGATTTCGTAGCCTAAGATACATAAGAAACCATGTATTGCACCTCTAGTAAAATTTCCTTTCTTTTCCTGATGCCAAGGTTTTCCAGTCCAGTTTCATTAAAATCAATTAATTAGTTACTGAAATAGCATTTTAGGCAACGTCCGCCATCTTGGTTTTCGAATTCTGAAAATTCGACTGAAATTTCGAGTTTCCCATTCAAAATTACCCCCGGGTACCAAGTTTCGCGTAAATCGATTGATTGGACGCTGAGATAGCATTTTAGGCAACGTCCGCCATCTTGGATTTTCGAATTTTGAAAATTCGACTAAAAATTCGAGTTTCCCATTCAACAATACCTCCGGATACCAAGTTTCGCGTAAATCGATTGATTAGACGCTGAGATAGCATTTTAGGTCATGTCCGCCATCTTGGATTTTCGAATTTCGAAAATTCTACTAAAAATTCAAGTTTCCCATTGAAAAGTACCATCGTGTATCAAGGTTCACTTAAATCGGTCGAAAAGAGCGCCTACAAGGCCTAAACAAACAAGCCTCAATTGATTAGGCGCTGCGATAGCATTTTAGGCAATGTCCGCCATCTTGGATTTTCGAATTTTCAAAATTCGACTAAAAATTCGAGTTCCCCAATGAATAATACCCCTGGCCACTGAGTTTCACTTTAATCGGTAGGAAAGAGAGCCTACAGGGCTTAAATAAGCAAGTCTCAGTTGTATCAGTTTTCCACTCTGTCCCACTAAACTGGGAAATGGGACAGGATGGAAACATATGGGACAGGATGGAACGGGACAGGATGGAATAAGCAGTTTTTTAAGCTTATCTCTAACAGTAAAGACAATTTTGGTGTTTTTTTTACGGAATATTTAGTAGCACATCCTAGAGGATCGGAATAAGAGAAAATTTTCCCTAACACACACTTCAAAAGTATTTTACAAGCTGATATTAGTGTGTGTGTGTATGCTTGACGCCTTGTTAGTTATCATGTATAGCATTCTGTTTGGCATCATTAATGGCGTTAATCTTGCACAAAAATTTGCGAATTTCAGAATTTTTGCCATCTACGACGTGTGAACTAATCAATCAAAACAAAAAAAGTCGTTTTTGGATAAACCTCAATATTACGGCAATCATTTAGAGCTTATTACATCGTTGCCATGTCTCTCCTGACTGTTGCTGACTTTTGCTCGGGACAATGATTCTAGCTCGTGAAAAAGTTATTGATGGAGCAAAAAATAAAATGACATATTTTATTTCTCAAATTCAAAAGCATTACCTATTATCTCCGATGAAGTTCTTAAATAATCACTCTAGTTATGCTGCAACATCGATTTAAAGTCAAGAACCAGGCATGGAGGACACGCAAATTTGGGACAAATGTAGGCAATTTGCACGTTCAAAGTTCTCCTAAATTTTTATTTCAGCCCAAATAAAGTGGGAAATAGCATGTAATAGTCAACAATAGTGTGGAAAATGAGAAAAAAATTTTATCTGCCCATGTTTCTCAGATTATGACGATTAAAACAGCTGGGGACACCAGATTAGACGCTTATTTGAACTCACCCAGGTACATATGATGCATTTTAAGTAGGATTACGGTGCGTTTATTACTATTACTCCAAAACCGCTTGGCGGCCCACAATGAAACTTTGGGAAATGCTTGAAGATTATGTAAGGATCACCTACAAAGAAAATCAAATTTTTTAAAAATGCTCTTTTTGAAAAATTCAAATTTGAAAATTCAAAATTTTCCAAAAATTTTCAAATTTTTTTTCAATTTTCTTTTTTAAAAAAAGCAGAACCTCTAGGCTTCAAAACAAGACCTAGTTCAAGTTTTTCCGATGAACCGTTAAAAAGTAACAGCCATTCAAAGTTTTATCGTTCATAAAAAAAACTCAATTTTTTCCAAACTTTGAAATTCCGTATAAAATTAACGGAGCGACCAAATGACCTAAAATTTGGGGAATATTTCTGTTTCAATAGGAACTTGCAGTACACCAAGTTTGAACATGATCCGAGGGGTCAAGGTTCAAAATCTTGTTGAGTTGACATGGAATGACCCTGTTCTTAATTCTCTAAGCTTTTCAATCAGAATGCGATACAGATGTATGTAGGATATGAAACATCCACACAGAACTTACTTAACCTCAAACGAGAAATCGTGATGTCAACAACGGCGGCGTGGCGGTAGTTGTCTCTGGGCGGTAGTAAGCAGGTTTGCTTCGTCGCCGCTATCTTCCCGTTCTATGATGCGTAGATTAGAATATTCACGGCGGTCGGTTCAAACACGTTTTCAAGGACCCCTAAAAAGGAAGCGTTATATCTCCGCGGAGACAATTTTTCGTGAAATTTTAACGAGCGCATCGTTCTTCTCGTACCGAAAACTGTTAGATTCGACTATTTGTAGGCAAATCCCTCCCAAGCTTAACTGACTCATTGTGCTTGTGTGTGAGCTCTTCCTCTCTGTATTGAGACTTTCGGCTTTATGCTGATTTTTAACGCCTGTTGGCAAACAAATTTCAACAAAATATGAATGTTGTCTACTAGGGAGGTGATTCCAACATTTTTGACAGTTAGTAAGTCCAAGTCCGAGCGAAATTTGTCCCAGTTTATTAAATTAGAGCACATAGCTGGAGGGCTTTCTGCTAGAACTGTGTTGGTAAATGTGGACCTTAAAATTGTCGCATGTATACTTACTGATGGTGGCAAAATGCCATTTGAAGTTATATCCATGAGGTTTTAATTTTTAAAACCAAAAAAGTTAATGAGATCTGGCTGATGTTTTGGGTCATGAGGGATATTTCTCGGTTTACTGGGGGCGGCATAATTGCCACTCGCCAGATTAACTGCCTCAAAGAGAGATGCGCCTTTTGGATATGTGATGCTGGAGGCACATCAGGGATTTTTGGCTTTCCAATCACCTCTCACTAAATATGTGGGACCTGCTTCACCCAGAAAACTAGTATTATCTGTGGTAGAACGGATGTTGCTAGTGGCAGTATACAGAGAAGCTACATTAAAGTCGTCAATATCCGTGTGAAAATTGATAACGTCCTTTTGGAATGCCGGCGACTCAATTCAATAGTTTAATCAGGTTACGCTTAACGTTCACTTTAATTAGAAGAGAGGTCCCATCTTGGTGTTTGTTTACTGGGTGTAGTGTATTATACGTTCTGTACCCTACAAAATACCTTGTAAAATCGTTTCTGGTGAAGCAGGTTGCTGACAGGAGGGCTATATATCCAATTATCCACTTTGAAACCTCTTACAGGATTGCCAGCGACCGGGAAAACCGGGAAAAGTCAGGGGAAAAAAATCAACCGGGAAAAGTTAGGGAAAGTCAGAGAATTTTGGTGTTGGTCAGGGATTTTTCTGATTTTTTGTGGAATTAGGCGCGGGCGGTCTCGGGCTCGCGTTGCGGGATCAACTGACTACTGCGTTCGATTGCGGAGGATGGTGGCGCTCTCGCTCGGCTTCGCGAGGAACTACCGGCATTCCGACATTCCGACCATCGCGTCGCGTCGTACCTGCGCGCGCGTGTGAGGGTGTGTGTGTGCGCATGTGTTTACGTTTGTTCACATAACCTCTCCAATGCAGTTTTTCAGGATCTCTAATAACAATTTATTTTTTTGTAAGAAAGTCACTTAGTCATTTTACTTAAAATTTTTGTTAACAATATTATTAAATTATAAAGCACATTCAGTAAAATTGTCTTCATGCCAATAGCATTTCTTTGCCTTGAAAGGGATGGAATGCCAAAGGAAATTCTGAATCACTGATTCTGAAAAGTGTCCTTCCTGCACCTTAATCCTTCATTGCTGCTCGTGATAATTGGAAAACATCTCCTGAAACCTCAAGGTCCAATCTTAATCGCCAAAAATATTTTTTGAAATACACCCTAACCAAGCAGTTTTCTGTACCTAGCCCTTGCGTTGCAAATGTGCATGTTAACTAACTGCTAAAAATTTAAGTAGTCGAAAATAGCTCTCATTTCCACTTTAACAGACTGCGTCAGATCCATACTTAAAAGTCAGGGAAAAATATTGGAAAGTCAGGGAATGGTCAGGGAATGGAAAAAAATAATTTGGCTGGCAACCCTGCTCTTAGCATGATATTGAATTCCTCGGTCTTCACCCAAGTCAGGTCATGCTTCATGCTGGTGCTTGAAAATTCGTGCGATTTGCGTGAAAGAATTTCTGGGGTCTCTGCCAGGGTGTTCACGATTAAATGGACGACTTTACGTAACCCATTAGAGAGTATAATCTGGAAAATATCAGAAAAGCCGATGTTATCATGAAAATCGGTTATGGATCAGGAAATCATGAGTGCTTCAAGCATGTTTCAAACATTTGACTCATTTTGTTAAGTATGTTTACTTTTTAAATCAAACGAGTATAAATTTCTACGCGAGGAAAATCAGGAAATCTTGTCTGAATTATCAGAAAAATCCAAAATTAAATTTTAGTAGACACCGCTACTAGAATCAATAATGCATGACCAATATTAAAATTATAACTGCTTACCTACCCTTGACGAAAACCATTATTTGTTGATATGTTGCAGAAATACTCAAATGATTTTATCGTCTCTTCTTCAACACACTGGTTACAACGATAGAATCAATCAATTGTGGCATGTTGCCAGAAACCTTGCTTGTAAAGAGCATTCTGTACCGCGATCTGGAATGCCTTCCGTATCTCATTTGCAGAAACATGTAGAATGGGCTTGGAGAGAAGGTTTTGATTTGCAAGGTGCAGAACAATTAGGAGCCCGTGTATTCAACACACGGAAGTGGATTGGAGCCACTGAAGTCACTACCATTCTGTCATCGCTCAAAATAAGGTTGTAGACCTTTTTTCAGTACCAAAAATTTCAATTTTTTCTATACATTCGAGTAGCTTGATACTGTGAGAATGTAAACATTGTTATTTCACATCACGCGTAGTATAAGTATATTTTTCAAATGAAACTACACAACTTTCTACTGCGGACTTAATCTCTTAATGATGTCAACGTAGTAGAGCTTAGGCAATACCTGAACATAGTTTTTTTTTTTTTTTGGCATTTTTGAATTCTCGCTAGAGATTTTAGAAGTGAGAAAATAAGTGACGCGCTAACTTCTGTCAATAGCCCTGTGGGTGGGTTGTTCAGATTTTTTATTTTTCCACTAGGCAATACAAAACTACAGTAAAATTAAGGTATGCATTTAATCAGCTTTGTCAATTGTCTTCTTTATTGCACCCATGTCAGATCGAATCAACGATAAGATCGGAGCACCTCTGCTCATTGGTCCATAGGGCGGGTCGTAAAAAGGCTTTTTGTTTTGTTTTGACCGTAGTAGCAAAAAATCTGTGTCAAACATGGTAAAACTCATATGTGGTAAGTTTCAGCCCTCTACGCCACCCCTAACATAAAGTCCCGGGCACTTAAAAGGATGAAACTCAAAATATACATTTTTTGTAAAATTTAAACTGCTATCCTGATGGAACTTAGCAAGTTAGGGCCCTTAACCTTAGGGCGAAAATTTCAACCGTTTTGACGTGCAACGAAGGGAATAAGTTCAAAACGACGATTGTCGGCGCTTAAAACATCCCTTTTTGCTACCCCGTGGCGGAAATTTTGAATACGTACGAATTTCGAAAATTTGACACTCTAGCCTATGAGAAATCGACGAGTTGCGACCCTAAGGGCAATCATTTTGTCGGTTTTAACGTACCTTAAAGCTTTTTGCCTCCAATCACAAGTTGAAACCGCGCGAACGTCACACGCGTCGGAGCCCGCGTCGATGCTCCCGGCCGCGCAACCGCCGCGCTGTTGCCATCGTAGCTCTATTATTAGTACCGCGCCGCGCGCCGTCCGTGGCTCTATCTTACACACGTTCAACGCTCACTCGGGCCTGCGATCTTTCTCTTCTCCTATCACCCTCGAGCTCTTACAGTAATGTTAGTCTGTGTTTCATTATTCAATGAGTTTCCCTTCCCTTTTTCCATTTAAGATGAATTTTGCAACTTATGTTAAAAATGTGTAACATTCGAGCACCCTCTTCTTCAACGAATGTATTTTTCTTCTCGAAATAAACATTCATTGCAAAAAAATTTCTCGGACCAATTTTAGTGTATTCTCATAGGCTGAAAATATTGAGGGAAAAAGAGCGGGCACAAATGAAGGAAATATGGAAAACCCTTTTTGACGGTGAAAGAATGAACACCGCATGACGTCAAAACGTCAGGATTGTCCGTGACAAGCATGTACCTACGCGTACAACTCGGGTACATGTTGGCTATGGGCTGAACCCAGTTGTGTCAAATCACCATAAATCGCTTGTAAATAAGCCTCAAAATCAGCGTAAATTACATAATTGTGTCAGATTTCTTTGTTTTAATTCTCGAATCATAGATGTTTCTCGAACGAAAAAGAGCCTGAGATTGCCTCGTTGGCCGCCGCCAAGCTCTAGTATCCTGTGTTCGGTGAAATCCTCTGATGAATATTTATTTGTGAAGCACTTCTTGCTTATAAACACCTGACGTTTACATTTTTTCAATTGATTTCGGACCAGTTTCACAAAGTTACTAATCCAAGAATAATGGTAACTAAGAGGTGTTGGTGGGGAGAGATGGTGGTAAATCGGTGTCATCTGCCCTTTCCGGGTCTGCAACTTGAATGGAGTAAACTGTGTATTTTTCTTGTTGGTGACTGTTCTTTCACGGACCCCAAAAACTTAAACTTATACATTGTTTCTTGCGTCGAATTTGACATTGTCATCTGCGCTTGTGGGGTATGGCATGCCCAAGAAATCGTACTTATTTTCAAATTTGTGTATTTTGATGGGTGATGTTCATCCTCCGCAGCACCGCGCGGGAGGAATTCTCCAAAAACTGTATACAGGGAACAATCATTGTCCTAGCCAGTCTTGACATTCACAACTGTTGGTACGGAACAGTACCTTAACGTAAGTATTTCTGCTCTGCACAATGAACAATTTTGGTTTATTCTTAGCTCCATACCCTGCATCTTGTTCAATACCCAACCAGAGCTGTTCATTTGGAAATCGAAGAATTCTTTGTTCATCTTTTCTCTGAAAGTACAGTAAAAATTCTCAAGATTGAGTACACCGGTGTGTTTATAGTTATAAATTTCTTCAATTCCATTCCTTCATCTTTCGAATCCTCCGGTTTTTCATACAGTAAAACCTCGATTTATTGGATTTCACGGGACCGGAGACCAAATCCGTTAAATCGCGGAATCCGTTAATTCAAATTAGCGGATTTTGGCGAAAATCGACAAAAATCCGTAGAATCGAGTTTTTTCCGGAAAAATTCTAAAAATCTCTATTTTCCCTTTTGGAAGTTTTCCTTTGGAAAAAACGTGAATTGTTTCGGATTGTAACTGTAGTGGCGAGGGTGTTTAATTGTCTTACTTTTTGCCGTGTCTGACAAATCATTTGAATTCTCCGGTAAAAAAGGACCTCTACCGTTTTTTTTCTACCTGTACAAAAAAATGAGGCTCAGGTTGAAAGACGGAATAAATAGGTTTCACCGACAGAAGATGAACTAAGTCGAATTTTGGAAGAGAGCAAAGAAGCTGCCCAATTCTTACCCAATGTTTTTTACGCTGCTCCCTCCCTTACTTCTTCCCCGTACAAATGCAAGTTTCCTTTTTGATGGTGAAACCTATTTATTTTGTACTGCTACACTAGTGTATTTGACTATAGTCAGGAAAAACTTACGATTAGGGCACAGTTTTTGTTAAAAATGAAAATACTAGAATTTGGTCCAATTCTTTGGCTTTAATAGTAATAGGTACGTAAAAGCAAAACGAAACAAGAGAAAAATGCCGTGACACAGTGAAAAAGAATAAGAATGCATAGTAATTTATTTTAGAGCAAAGAATGAATCTATTGAAGATTGCTTCAAGGTACACTCCTCCACTTTGGCACGAATGCAGTGATTCTCAACCTGGAACAGACATCTCATTGTCTCATCACTCGCACCAGTTTGAGAGAGAAACGTCTTCATGGTCTCGACGGCGTTGAATACCTCCGATTTTCGGATGGGAGGAATGTCGACGTCCGCTCCATCTGCGGCACAATCGTCATCCACGCTACCATCTACGTCTTCTCGCGCTATATCGTCAAGATTTTGCAACCCCGTCAAGATGATTTCGTCATCGGCGGTGCAATAATCTTCGAAATCGCCCACTGATTCTCCAAGAAAGTGGCTAACTTTCTGCCACTCCTCTGGTTCATTACAAGTTTCCGTTTCATTAGCGGTTTCTTCCTCACAATCAGTTGTTTCCATAGCTTCATCATTGGTCTCATTTGATTCCGGGCTCTTCCTCTTGTTTTTCCTCTTGTCTTCTGGACACCCCTTTCCAATGCCAGCTTTTTTGAAGCAGTTCATAATGGTCCCTGTTGACACTTCCGACCAGCTTGCCTGTGAAAGAAAAGAAAAAGAAAAAAGTTGGAGGTTGTTGAGTAATGGGTATTAGAGCGAATGAAGTTAATGTTTTTCGTGGGGGAGGGGGTGGATACCCCTGGAATATTCAGCCCATAGTAAAATTTATTAGGTTTTCCGTAAAATGAAATTTAGCGCAAAAAAGGTGGGAAATTTACAAAACTGGGAACGCTAAGCTTTTTTCTTATAATATCCAAATGTAACGTAGGTTTAAAAATTATAATAATTCAAATTCTATTTTTTTCTCTTTTTTTAAAGAATATTATTTTGACGTCATTTTTCCCTTATAAATATCCTTAGAAAAATTATTAGGTGAACATTTCCCGTAAATTTTATAACCTTTTAATGATTTTGTGATTAATTTGTTCCTGTTTTTTCAAAATAAAATTCCTATTAAGCCCCTTGCCATTGAAGGAGAGGAAAAAAAAGAGAAGAGAGGAGGTATCGGTTTATCTCCTATAAGTTACGTAGTTTTTTTACGTACATAAATACGCACAAGGGTCATTGACATGTATATGCCTCTATATTCGCGCGCGGCGGCACGGCATGAAAGGGAGAAGGACAAGCGGTTATCAAGAATACTCAATTCGGGTTCCACTGCTCACCCCTCCCCTCGAACCGCCCCGACGCGACGCGTGCCAGACTGAGGCCTTGGGGAGGGTCAGGTTTCCGAGAATCGGCGCAGCTCAGCAGTCCCGAGTTCAGTGCTCCCATCGCGAACAGTCGAAATAAACCCCCTTCCCCCGTTTTTCTCCCTCTGGTGCCGTGGCACTGTCGCTCTATTTTTCTATACTATTAGTTTCAATTTTAAAGGTGTAATTTATTTTGAAAATGTACTTAAAAGAAACTTTTTGCATACCTCATTTGCCTATTTTAAAAATTGTTTACCGTATTTACCCATGGATAATACACACCATAAGTTTGGGAAGGTCAAAAAAAGGGGGGGACCCATGAATAGTTAAATGCATTTTTTTTCTCCCTAGTAAGAAGTTGTCTCGTGTTTTATTTCCTTAAGTGTCAACATTTTTCTTAAGGTCAAGGTGTAAAAAAAAAAGAGAAAAACAAATTCGAAAATCTTTTTTTCGACCTACTTATCATTGGCCTCAGAATTTTGCACCCTTGATCATGGCAACCCGATTTTTCAATCGCGAATTTTTTGTTTCTGTCTCTTATCGATGGGTGAATACGGTAGTTAGCAGAAAAGAAAGAGAAAAAAATAGAATACAATGAAAGTTCACTCACCATTAAGAAATGAATCGCTTTGAGGAGGCTAATTTTCATAACTTCTTTTGTGACTTCCTGGTCAATAAGAAATGCCAAGTGCTGTATTAGACGTCTTCTGTAGTACGATTTGAGAACTTTGATGATGCCTTGATCTAACGGTTGAAGTATGGAGGTGGCGTTTGCTGGCAAAAAAACGAGTTCGATGTTCGACAGCGACACATCAGGTGGATGTGCAGGACAGTGGTCTATGAATAATACAATTTTCCGATTTTGAGCACCCATTGTGGCATCAAAAACCCTCAACCATCGAATGAATTCGTTTCCTGTCATCCAGGCTTTTGTCTGAGAGGTGTATTCTACAGGAAGAGTTTTAATATTTTTGAAGCACCGTGGCTTTTGCGATTTTCCGATGACCAGGGGCTTAAGTTTGTGGGAGCCATCTGAATTAAAACATAAAAGCACCGTAACACGTTGTTTGCTCAGTTTTCCTCCATGGCAATTATCTCCCTTCACCACCAAACTTTTATTGGGCAGAAGATTGTAAAACAAACCGAGTTCATCAGCGTTGTACGTATCTTTGGCTGTGTACCTCTGTAAGTGAGTAGGCAGAACCTCCGACTTCCATTTAGCTGCAACACCGCCGTCAACTGCTTCTCTTTCGCCGCAAATCTGTCCAAAGATAATGTTGTGCCGTTTCCGGAAATTAGCTAACCATCCGTTCGATGCCGTAAAATTTGCATATTCTGGCAACTCCGAAAGTCCTGGGATTTTGTCCCGTAACTGAAGTGCTATCAGTTGCAGAAGAGTACCATTCACTGGAATATTGGCCGATCTTTGCTGGTTAAACCATGTTAACAGTTTATCCTCCAGAGTTTGCAAAGGAGATGCTTTGATATGCTTCGTTTTGTTAAAGCCCAATGAAGCAGCGGCCTCGATGTCTTGCCGGTCCTTCAAAATAGTATTCAGTGATGTCGCCGACATCTTTAAGTCATCTTTTGCGATGTCCTTTTGCAGTTTTCTGGTCTTCGCTTTCATCTCATCATATTTATAAATGATCTCTAGCTTTTCCTCCACGCTGTAGGACCGCCGCGTTTTCCTATCACTCATTGTCACTCGACAATCCGATGTTTTTATCACCAACACTCTATAAAAAGCACCAAAACTTCCGATGACAACACGATAACGCACGGCGAGATAAGACAATGCAATCAATGCATCCGACTGTTGTTGTTGTTTGTGTTTTGTTTTGATTGGGATGAACAGGTGATTTATGCAAATCAGCTGTCTAATTAGTACAGTCATTGACCGTTGACCTTGAGTGGCACGCGCGCACGTGTCGCGAGGATGCGGGTGCGCGGAGGGTGCGCATCTTTTGAAAACGATACGCGAGCGAGGGCGAGACATGACGTGAGATCCTACGAATTGGCGGGGAGGAAAAAAAAAAGTGACCAAAAATTACGATCCGTTAAATCAAATCGGGTCGAAATCTCAATCCGTTAATCAGCAAACGTTTTAACATTGATCATATGGGTCCCTCTGAAGGGACCGGAGGATCGATCCGTTAAATCGCGATCCGATAAATCTAGGTCTTATTGTACTTAGCAAATACCATGTGTTAACTTTTAGTGATTCCTCAGCGAGTTCCTCTTTAATATTGTTGAGGACCAGATCTTTAGCAGTGCCCGAATACTCATCTATGTCGAGTATTTCTGGGTGAAGGTTGTTTATGAAATAAGTTTTTAATCTGCTTTGCACAGCAGTTTCGACTTGCACGATGGGAGTTCTCGTGTCAAGCAACTTTCTTATATGCTGTGCGGATTCATCATGCATCTTACCTTTAACATGCGAGGTTTCACAAGTGATACATTAAACTCGACTATCATTGAAGACGGTTGGAATGTTCGACATTATAAGCTCGAGGTTAATACTGTGTGCACGTTTAGAGAAACTCACCAGTAGCGATATACTGTGTATTATTTCCTCTTTTTTTTTTTTTTTTTTTTTTTTTTTTTTTTGGATGAGAGGAAAAATTCGCTACAGTGCCCCTCTCATGAGGGTCGCCGAAACGCCCCTCATGAAAGGGACCCACCGAATACCGAGACGGCAACGGCCGTCAGCTGGTGAAGAGCCGCCGAAGCGACCCTTAACCGACCCGACCGCTGTGAGATGGAAAAACCCGGTTATGTGGGGTTGGAGCATGCCGTCGTGTTCCGTACCCACTAAACGACCCCTCCAGGCCACACCCCGTGCAAGTGTGGCCCTTTGGGCGCTCTATCCTCCCGTCGGATGTCCCTAAGGCACTCTTCGAATGGCAGTCCCCGGCCGCGGTGAAGCCGGCGCCCCTCAGGCCCACCCTCTTGTGGGAGGGTCCCCCCATCCTCTGGGACCGATCTACCGAAGCCATCATTGAACACGGAGTCAAGGGCGTAGGAGGAGAGCCGAGGCACACCTTGCGGCAACCCCACGGCAGGGCTCTGGAGCCGAGGACTGGACGGCAGGGAGGGCAGACTAGCTACGTCTCGCTCAGCCCTCCAGGCACCCGATCTTATGCGGCCCCAGAAGGGGGCAGCCTACACATGACTCAGCGCGGGTGCGTCGAGCCCGATATCCTCAATTGGATAGCCTGCGGTAGTATTATTTATTCCGTTCAGATAAACTCTGGTCAATACCTACTATTTATAAGCAAGAGGTTTTCTAATTTCGTCAAAACTGAGACTAAAAATCTTTACGTTCGTCAGCGGTAGCAGAGAGAAACTTAAAGCGAATTCGAGTGGAGGCTGAGAGAGAACCGAATCTAGAATCCTTCGTTATTATGGTGTCAGCAGAATATTCAAAATCTTCAAAGAACCGCAGAGAGGGTCAGTTTTGGCGTTGTCGAAAGTATAAAAATTCTTAAGATATAACTAGCTGCTTCAGCTCACTACGCTCGCTTGCGCCGAGGGCTTCGCCCCCCGGACCCCTAGTCACTCGCTCCGAGATTGACTGTTGGCTCGCTGCGAGCCAAATTTTGCTACTACAAGTAATTCAAGGACTTCATCGAATACGATGTTTTTTGTACGCCAATTTCAACCTTTACTTTTTCATGAGACGTAGCCCTCGAGAGTGCAACGTAATAGTCCAGTCAAATTAGAAAAATTAGAGGAAAAAATTCCCGTACAAGCGATTTTTGGCTAAAGTTGCTTGTTAGGGTCTAGAGAGGCACAGGCTAAAAGTCCCCATCGATACCCCTTGTGCCTAGCCCCCCAGCTCCCCCAAAGCCCCCCAAAAAGGCTAAAAAATCGGTTTTTCGGCTATATCTCGAGGACGGTTGGAGATAGCGAGTTGCGTACCATTTGGAGAATGTTCCTCATCAAATTCTGCAAAAAAAAGTTTCTTAAGCTTTTTCTTCCCCAGGCACTCCTTGACCCTCAAAATGGCCGCCGCGTATGGGCGTCATAGCGCGCTTCCTCACTGTACGGTACACATAGGTACGCCTCTAGACCGCGCGGCCGCGCCGCCGAATGTCTCGACCTTCTCACCCCGTCACCCTCTATATATAGCTGAAATTTACATGATATGCAATTATTATGTACTCTTACCTTGTTTGCTATGCAAAATTCTGTTTTCAGTCAGTAAACTTTGATGCTTCAGCAATAGCCTGAGGGCTATTCACAGCCAGAAAGGGGGGACACGTATTTTGATGACACTGTGATCCTAATTATTGCCCGACATATTTGCGTGGTAATTTTTTTTTTTTAATCATTCGCTGGTCGATTCACGGTTTTTAAAAAGAACGTAAATCAAGGTCGTAGGAGGGGGGGGGGAGAGGACAAAAAAAGGTAGGAAAGGGCGCGCGGTCTGTTAAGGAATGAAAGAACACTTTATTTATGAGTTACAATTTTAGTAGCGGTCAAATAATAAAATGAAGTTAATAAAATTTGAGTGAAAAATTTGAGTGAATTTTTTTTTATTAAATGAAAACGAAGTTTGTCCAATGAATCATTTTGTTTCTTTGCAACACATAGTCTTAAGAGAATTTTGCTACCGGACTCGGACATGGAATCGAATGTTGAGCCTTGATCCTTAAATGACCCGCAAAATCTTGAATATCTTCATTTTTTCCTTAAAGTGAAGAGTGCCATCTTGCCCTTTCCAAAAATTGCCTAGTTAGTATCACACCCGGAAAATGCATGTAAAAATAGCATATAATCTTTTAGTTTCGGACGGGCGTTTAGGCTTTTAAAAGAGTAAATTTTTGCTTCAAAGTTTTGTCAACCAGGTTTTAGAAAAAATATTTCCTTATTTTCTGGAGACAACGTACTTAAAATTATTAAAAAATCGTCGTCTCCTCCAACAATCACACAATTTTTGGTTGACTCCAAAGATAAGATCAAAGCCGTTTAAACAATCAGTGGGTGTGCATCTCCATCTGAAATTTCATTTTGAAGACCGATGTTCCTGAATTTTTTTTGTGGAATTTCTATCAGTCTTGTTTTGTTTTCGTCATTAAATAAAAACTTTTCCCGGATTAAAGTTACTTTTGTTTCTTCATTAAAAGCAATTTCCATGACCATTGATTTACCGTACCTTTAGGATCTCTCAGCATTTTTTGTTGACGGTGTGTCACTCGAATAACCGTCTAAAATAATGAGGCAATTTGTATCAAAATTCTGATGGACATCGGTTATGTAATTTTCTGTAATCTCCAAACTTTTCTGCTTCCTGGGGCCAGACTGCGCGGTGTAATAGAAATCTACCATCAAGAATGTATTTGCTGTTACTTGGGGCCTTTTTTTCTAGTTTCGGCTCAAAAATGGCGCATAAAGAGGCTTTTTTCGTTTTAATTATTCTATTGGTATCAAACTGGGACTGAGCGTACGGAGATAATTCATACTTAGAGCAATTCACAAGGCCTTCTTGCAACGTCATAAAAATGGAGATGCGTTGAAATAATCGCAATGGATCACATGTAATGTCATTTTCGTGGAGTAAGTGTTACCCGTGTCTGTGTATGAATTTCGGACTATCATTTTAGGTGATAATTTGATTTCGTCAAATTTTTTCTAGAAATTGTTTCTAAGATTCTAAGTCCGACAAGTTCTGAGGTAGATTTATATTTTAAAATTCTTGATCTATTCGAAATCCGTGAATCGACCTCACACAAATACGTCGGGCAATAATTAGGATCACAGTGTCATCAAAATACGTGTCCTTCCTTTCTGGCTATTAATCGCCTTCAGGCTATTGCTGAAGCATCAAAGTTTACTGACTGAAAACAGAATTTTGCATAGCAAACAAGGTAAGAGTACATAATTATTGCATATCATGTAAATTTCAGCTATATATAGAGGGTGACGGGGTGAGAAGGTCGAGACATTCGGCGGCGCGGCCGCGCGGTCTAGAGGCGTACCTATGTGTACCGTACAGTGAGGAAGCGCGCTATGACGCCCATACGCGGCGGCCATTTTGAGGGTCAAGGAGTGCTTGGGGAAGAAAAAGCATAAGAAACTTTTTTTTGCAGAATTTGATGAGGAACATTCTCCAAATGATACGCAACTCGCTATCTCCAACCGTCCGCGAGATATAGCCGAAAAACCGATTTTTTAGCCTTTTTGGGGGGCTTTGGGGGGGCTGGGGGGCTAAGCACAAGGGGTATCGATGGGGACTTTTAGTCTGTGCCTCTCTAGACCCTAACAAGCAACTTTAGCCAAAAATCGTTTGTATGGGAATTTTTCCCGCTAATCCGAGATTTTTTATCTAATTTGACTGGACTATAAACTTGCCCATGAAAGAATGCAGGCTGTGGCAGGTAAATGCCAACACGATCTAATGTTTGACCCTGGGCTTTACTGATGGCATAAGGCTTTACTGGTGGAATAAGTTAAATTGAGTTGAGAGACATTTTGAAACGTCGGTCGCGCAAATCAAAAAACCAAGGGGTGCTGGCACATCTACGGCGTAAGAGCTTTCATTTAAAACAAATCCAAGGAAAATCGGTCCAGTAGTTTCCGAGATCGAATTAGCTCAAACTGTCGAAACTGAAGGAGAACAAAAAAAAGCTTTAGGATATCAAATATATATATTACTTTAACAAAGAAATCATCCGAGTTGTTGAAGTTGGAAAAACCTCTACCCTCTAATAATAATGACAATAGTTTATCTGAACGGAATAAATAGTTCGCAGTATATCCAAGCGTAAAGATATGATCACAGGAGACAAAATCATCAGCCAATTTTTAGAACTTTCGAAATGAGTAATGAGTATCATGTCTCAGACACACCTCTGTTCACCCATCTGGTCTTGTCGGAAGGGATTTATTGAGCTATTCTGAACAATGCTTTAATCATACAATGATTCAACTATTAAACATATAAAACTGAAATAACTTTATTGATAATTTTTCATGCCATTTTCGCTGCTCCTCAGTAAGTGTTAGTGTACAATAGCGTTTTTTTGTCCGAGGGAGTTGCATCCCACGCCAAAGCAAAATGACTGTAACCTGGGGGAAGTATTTACAGAATTTTCGTCATCAACATTTCCTCCGAAACTTTGCCCTTCATGGCATTCAACCTAGTATACAAATTTTCCAAGTGGCATATATCGGTCATTATGTCATTACCTTTTACAAATTTGTAATTAAAGACTACGTCATGCATATCAAGATCATTAGGTATCGTTATTTCGTTTTCGTTGTTGAACCAGCTCATTTTCGCACACTTTTCGGTCGCAATTTCAGAACACGAATGTTTAAATTTTCGGCTGTCTGGGCTCCTATAACCTGTCGAGGTTGTTTAGTAAATACCGAGTGAAAAGTGGATCACGGATCAAGATTATGAAATTTATTGTTGAATTACATTCTGCTTATTGGAGACGGCTTGGCATGCTTTACTCGACTAACTAACTGCGCACTGCAAGTCCAACCGATGCGGTTCCAAAATGCTGTGCTTGCATTGCAGCACATTGTTGTGCGATTGGCGTGAATGAATTACATTATTAGTTCCGTCATAGATCAAAGTAAATATAGTTGTTGTAATAGTAGCAACTTGCGCTGACCTGTACATTACCTAAAATAAAATGTCTGCCCTCCATTGTCCGAATGTGCAATTAGGTTTTTGAGTTTTGAAGATTGTGTGTTCATGAGTTTGCATGAAGTACCATTTGAGATGGAAATAAGTCTCAACAAGCAACTTGTTGAGTCATTATATTTACGAGTGGACCCCATTCATCACAGCAGGCGCAGCCACGTGTGTGACTACGAGTGCAAGTGTACGTTAGAAGCTATTCTGAAAACTCTCAAATATGAATTGCGCGGTAAACCCGCGTTTTATCGGTGTTTTATGAGTGGTTTTTGTAAGTGGGCTCTAACACATTTGTGCACCAAAAATCTCATTTCGTTGTATATACAAACCGAATTGCTGCTACTCGTTTGATGAGTACCTTTCGTGGAAAGAATTCAAAAAATACTCATTTTCAACCCTTACCTACGTGAACTGTTGGGGACCTTAAACTCAGTCGCGGAGGTGCGCATGTGTTCAGGGCACTTTATGACTCTGTATTCACTTCATGAAGCTTCCAGATAACTTTCATATGAGAAACCAAGAAAAACCTGGCCTTTGTCAAATGGTTGGGTCTGGACGCGAGTCACAACAGTTGGATCGACAGTAAGGATTTCGTATAAATAATATGCATTCTCTTCTCAGTATAGCAAGGAAGAAATCATGATCGATAAAATAATTCTCATTACTTTCATCATCATCGTAACCGTCGTTGGAGTGAATTCCACAGTGGCGGTGGAAAACTCATCCGAAGCAAACATCACAATGTGCCTGGTCTATCCAGAAATCAAATGCGCAACCTCTACCTTGACGGACGTTCTTCTATTCATCTTGAGTTTACTGGCGCTCATTTGTTCCGCTCCGTACCTGTACTCCAAGTACCTATCATCCGACTGCAAGTTCCGTTTCACCAGGATGTCCCGTAAGAATAAAAATCGGAAAGTCGATGACATAAGTGTCGATTTAAAGTTCGGAGAAGGAGAAGGGATCGACGTTTGTGTTTGACAACCCTAACGTTTTTTAAACGCGTACGTTTCTTAAACGCGTACGTTTCGTAAACGCGTTCGTTTTCTGAACGCAGACGTTTTCTAAACGCGTAAGTTTCTCGAACGCGTGCGTTTTCTAAACGCGAACGTCTTTTAAACTGTAACAGTTTTCCACCAAAAAAAAAAATTTTTTTTTTTGATTCATCAAACTGAACATTGCAATATCCAATCCCAGTTGCTCATCCGAAAACATAAGGTTCCGATCCTCATCTCCAAGCGCACACTACTAAAAATGGAAATTCCCGAATCAGACCCTACTCTCCAGTCTCCGATACCAGGCCCATACTGGAGGAGACGGTCTACCGATGCCGCCAAAATTTTACAAGTCGGAAATCTCGAAAACAAAAAGTCGTATCAAAATTCGGTCCGTACAGTTTTCCGATCTTCGATAGTGTAAAAGAATCGCATCGGTCCGGGGCGGATCGAAGGAGGGTAATTTTCCGAAAATGTTTTAATTTCCCGAATCAGACCCTACTCTCCAGTCTCCGATACCAGACCCATACTGGAGGAGACGGCCTTTCGAAGCCGAAATTCCTTACAAGTCCGAAAATCCGATTTTTTGCACAATCCAACAACATTGTATCGAAAAATTAACTTATTTCTTGCACCATCAGGCAACACTGTAAAATTTGATATCGCAACATTTCACCTGTATATATATCATTTATTTATGTGCACCGTCCGGCAATGATGTTGCATAACCGCCATCTTGAAAGGGCAACATACATCATTGCATAACCCGCAGATTGAAGGGGTAACATACAATACTTCTTTTTATAGCGTTGCTATATTAATCAATAATCACCATACAACACTGTAATTTAATTCGTATTTTTCTGCACAATTTGGCTAAAAACTTTTGCGCCCAAGTCGGCATTTTCACCCTACTTGCTTTCTAGAAGTAAATTTGATGCTCTTTTCATTGAGTTTAACAGTTTTTTTCTCAGATAATCGTGGCTGGAGATATGAACCAACGTTTCTACAAAAATCAGCAAAAATGCGCTTTTTTTAAGCTAATTTTTGACGAAAGCGTTAATTTACGCCCTGAGCACCAGCCAATTTTCCTGAAGTTATTATGGGCATCTTCGGACTTCTATATCTCATAGGAATCGAAGAAAATTGGTTTGGTGCAAAGGACAAACCATAACCCGAAATTTGTTGTGCGGTGTAATAAATAAAGCAAGGGACCAAGCACTGATCCTTGTGGTACTCCCGCAAGGGTGGGTTTCTCTTCTGACAGTGCTTCACCCAACTTCACTCGGGAAGTTCTGTCCGAAGGATATGAGCGTATTAATTTAACATGGCATGCACGGAGTATTTTGGATAGCCCTTTTTTTTATTAAAATTTTGTGAGAGACCTCATCAAATGCTTGTACAACATCCAGGCTACAATGCTGATACACAATATTCACCTTTTTCCAGTGCATTTTTAATAAATTTAGTTACAATCTGTAATTGTTCAATGGTCGATTGTTTGGCTCTGAAGCCAAATTGAATGTTTCGTAATAATTTTTTGGCGTTTATGATTTTTGAGATACGATGAAGGTAAATTCTTTCCCACAGTTTAGCAATAGAGGATGATAAAGAGATGAGGCGATATGATGAGGGATTTTTTCTAGGTTTCCCATTTTTGTGGAAAACTATGAGTATAGCTTCCTTGAATTTACAGGAGACATATTAAATATTTATGATTGCATCAAAAATTTGTACTAATTTGTGTATAGCTTTATCAGGAAGTTTTTTAAGGATGAGACCAGTAAGTTGATCCTCTCCTGGTGCTTCTTTGGTCCTACATTTACTGATTAATTTGGTTACCTCTCCAAATGAGAATTGGAAGATTTCATGATCTAGTTCTATAAGATCGCTCTTTGCCAAGAACTGGAAAACGCTTCAGTACAATAGCCCTTTATTAAATGAGTTAAATTGAAGTTGCAAGAGATGCCCGATTACCTGCATGGCCAGACGATCGAATGCGATTTGCATCGATGATTGTCGCCTGAGACACCAATGTCTGACATTGATGCCAAATTCACTCATGCTACAGCAACAAGATTTTTTTCAAATTTGGGTCCCTTTTTTAATATTTATTCACCCTGTTTTCGCACAGGTGCCAGTTGGTTGATTTTCATAGACCAACAAGTCCAAATGGGTGCCATCCGGAATTGTTTAATTGGGTTTTGCAATATTTCCAGTCCAAAGATGATTTTAAGCCTCCTCTGTATCTTCAGCACCAAGGTAAGGATGCAAATATTGTCGATTGTTGGGCATCATATTATGATGGAACATGATTTGGTTTATTAATTGCTCTCGAGGTCATTTTCATACCCAAGAGAAAATTTTTATCACTGCTCTTTCTATCCACATCCTTCTCTTGAGATGCATTATTTATCCTAACAATGCCCCTCACGGCAGGGATGCAGAAAATGCTCGATCACACGAGTGGGATCTTGCGTGGATACGTAGAAAGGCCCCGATATTTTGGAAAGGCGAAACAAATTTTAACAGTCAAAATGTTTTTCATACGAAATCGAGATCTGCGTAAGTATTTGTAACACTGGCGCGCCGCTTATGGTCCCATAGCCTGATTTAAGTGGCAATAAATCAAAAAAATAAAAAGAGGGAAAGTCCGATTAGAAGATGTAAATCGATAGTACATACTCCAGAGGAGACTCCTATGAAATATCACTTTGGTTGAAGCATTCACAAAAAGGTGACAAGCCTAAGAAGTGCGACGCACAGGGCACTTCCAAGTAAGATCTTAATTACTGAGCAACACTGTTATGTTAAGTAAGGGGTTTGTTTCTGTTGTTTCGTTTTACCTGCTGTACCTGAAAGTGTCTGAGCACTGATTTACAAAATGGAGGGTATGTTGAAAATGTTACTTGCTGAAACTATTCTTTTTCATTGTATCTTTTGCTGTAGACTAACCCTTCGACTTAATCAGTTTTTTAATAAAATCGTAGAAGTACGACCCAAAGAATATACTGATGATGACAAAGCCTGAGACTAAATCTCTCATATCTCCGCGTCCCGGTGGAGTTTTCACTCCAGGTCCTTTGCGCATGTCTTTGTACCTAACGGGCTATTGATTTCTGTCACTATCTCGACATCAATTTTGGGCTGGTCGCTATCCTCTCTTACAACTGGTTACGAATCCATTTCTGATTGGTTTCCGTATTTTAGGCCTCTGCAGTGTCACAAACGTAATAAAGATTACATTTTCACCAATTGCAAAGATTATAAACTGGAATGGACCAGGGAATGAGGGGCTCAGCAAGGAATAAATGTATTGAAAGAGGGGGCAGAGACAGGAATTCGAGAATGAGTTGATCCAAGATCACGAAAAACGTTCAGATTGTGTTATCTTAATTCCCGTTTGTGACATCCGAAAGCCCCGTTGTCTTAACGCGTTTTATGAGGGGACTCTAGTCATCAGAATTTTTTTCTTTTGTTTTGCCGTTAATTATACTTGACCGAGAGGTATAATTTCTGGAGCTCATTTCTGTTCTATCATAAGCAATGTCACAATGGGCCTGTTGCATAATTTGTTTTATTGCTTGAATCGAAAGAACTAAGGATCCTGATGTCACAGGAATTTTCCGGGAGTTTTTTGACCACCGGAAACCACCAAAAAATCAACTTAATCACGCCCTAAAATTCGGATTTTCTATACGGTCACTTTTACGCGGTAACCAATCCGGTACGCTCGCTACGTCACAGTTCATAACACACCTGGTCTTTTCATCACTGACAATGTATTTCTCCATAAGGAATTGGTAGCTAGCCATAACTCTTTACAAATGCAAATATGATTGACGGATGATTTTTTGACCAAAATGAAATTGAGAAATGAAATTCTTGGACGTTTAAATGGTTAAAACCTTCATTAGATAAATAAGAACTGACAGGATTAACCCTATTTCTAAGGAAAACTGTAGTGAATGGGCGATTGTTCACATCTGTCAAAGTGATAACAGAAATTGAGGTTAGCTCAATATTCTATTCGCAATAGCCATTTTTATGAGTTTTTACTTTTTTGTCACTATTTTACGGTAAGTTATTTTTGTAGATCAATTTTTTAGTACCGTAGGATCATGTTAAAAGCCATACCTATGTACATAAGAACATATTAATTCAGAACACATTGTGGCAGTCTAACACTCAAACATGGATGTTCTCCCAACGCGTGTAAATCATTTTTAACTCTTCAAGAAACATCTTAAAATCATTCAGAACATTCCCACAGTATATACACTCATTGTTACTTCAAAATCCAGTATATTTGTATTATAACACTACGCAAAAAAACGTATTGATAAGTCTGGTAACCGAAGAAGGATCCTACGTCTACCTCCCTTGCCAGGAAAGTGACCGTTTTAAATGGGTCGGTTCCAAAAACAGCTATTTTTTTTTTTTTTTAGTTTGAGGGGTCATTTCAAGCTTTTTTAGTAGCGCCATCGTTCTTTTGGTGAAACTTGCCATTGGAATTAGTTATCAGTTCTCAAATCTCCGCACCTTGCAACAGGTCCATTTTTTGTAATGTGCCAGTTTCTTTTTGTGCAAGTAAAAGTTTTCCATGTTAATTTACAGGTCACAGTCGGACTATCATTGGAGTTGAACAACTGAAAGACGAATTTGTTAATTTGTTAGTCTTAGACCCCAGTCACCCAAAGTCGCAAATGGAAAAGCTAAAATCTACCAGTCCTGCGATTTCTTCCCTCAGACTACTAAGAAAAACTCTGTATGACATGAAAGCCAAGCAGTATCAAATAGTCGTTGTGTGCGGTTTGGTCAATAGTGAAGCAGAATATCAGGTATACCACTTTATTTCACCCATTAGGTATTAAAATTAAGTAGATTTTGCTCGCATGGGCTGTAATTGAACAGGAACATTCCATGAATTTTTTGCAAACCAAAGCCAGAACAAAGTAATAGTTAATTAAGTAATATTAGTAGTTAGTTCCTTGAGAAATATGGCTCAATAATCTCCATGAGCACATTGGCAAAACCTGCAATGAGCTTGTTTAGTAATTTTTAATTAATGAATTTTTGAAAAGTAAACGGTGCACTTAGTTCCCAAGAATTCACTCGGATTTTTTCGAACAATAGTAAGGCACTAAAAACGAGTTGCAAATCTTGTGATTTGAACTTCTATTTAAACGCGCATCGCTGAGAAAAGGAAGAGACCCCGTAGAGATCGGTAAGGTCGCGGGTTCGCGCTCGATGACGTGATCCCTTTTACGCGACCGATGCTATGCATAGCCCGTATGAACACACGCTCGCACGGAGCATGGATCGCGAAAGTGTGATCTAGTCGTCGAGTGCAAACCACAACCAGACCAATCAATCTTCCCTTGAAAGGACTTGGGGATCGCAAAACAAGAAAAACACTAGATAATAGAAAATTCCTTGCTGTACGGGCCTTGAAGGCCCTCCGGATCGAGCCTATGAGGCTAATATGGGAACAGGAACCAGAGAAGATGGAAGAAGCATAAACTTGCGGAAAAATTTTGTCCAGTAGCAACCCCGCAAACTCCAAGATGAAAAACTGCGAGGGTTGTTCAGAAAGTAAGACTCCCTATTTTATTTTTCAAGAACGAATAAAGCCACAAAAATTGCAATTGTATAGTCAGATAGCTGCTCAGATTTTAAATAGTGTATTGGTTTTTGATTTTGGTTAGTGCTCACTTTGAAATTTTATTTTCCCGCGGTCTCCTCGAAAAATTTTCCGCCACCCCTTGAACGTCTGAAAATGAGCTTGTTAACCTGTTTCTAATTCTTGCATTTTCAGAAACTACATTGTCTCCTGATCACGCAGTTATTTTTTCAGATTTTTCTGAGCCGTTCTCCCCTCCGAAAACGACTTTTGAAGTCCGATATTTTAAAATGCCGCGTTTGCCCGCGCTTTAGCGGCAATCCAATATGGCGCCGGAATTACCCCCTGGCTCCTTGCCACACATTCGACAGAACTAAGTTCATATGTATCCATACTTACGTTTGTACAATATAAAGGCTAGGGAAGAACGAAGTACTTTTCAGGAGCCGAAAGGTGGCTCTTCCGCTCGATTTTATCGCATTTTTGGGGCCTGGCGATCGGCCGCATGAACTCGAAATCGTCTGCCGGGCTATTACGAAGTTTATATGTACCCAAACTATACGTGCGTACAATATAAAGGTTAGGAAACAACGTCAAAGCACTTTTCAGGAGCCGAAAAGTGGCTCTTTCCGTTTTTCGGGGGACGCAGCGGCCAGACGCACCACTTTTGAGGTCTGATATTGCCCAATCCGTTACTAGGGAGGTCAGAACTACGTCTCTGCAAAGTTTTAAGTGTGTTGGAGTAGTCGCGCCCAAAATGCAGTTGGCTCTCAGACTATTAGCAAAAAATAACAATTTACACCTACGCAAAAAAAAAAAGCAGCAATGACGTGAAAGTAGTGTAGTACACATCCAACATTTCAGTTTTTCGGCACGCTTTTCCTAACATCTTCATGTTGGATCTATCATCTTGTTTTTCTTCATTTAAAAAAAAATAAGTCACACTGTCATCAAGAGATTAATTAATAAAATAACACGTCATAGTTATCTTTTGTAATTTTCCTCCCTTTGGTAATTTTGGCTTTTACTTTTTACAAGTTCAACTGTGATCAGCTTGTATTAAAGATCTAAGATGAAATTTGTTGGTTAGACTTTACACCACAACATAGACCCTTCAATTCTGCTGATACCACAAGGACATCCAACAAGCACGAATAGTTGTATGAATCCGGCGTTATGAAGAAGCGTTGTTTACCTACTTTAGATATAAAGTGACTAAAGTTTAGTAGCCACGTTTGGACAGTGGGTATGAATGAGAGATAAACAAGCAAAACCAAAGAATGAAAACAGCGCATTACTTTACATCCTTTGGCTCATAAAAGAGATAAAGAAGAAGAAGTTGGAAGCAAATGACACAGGAAATCGCCGCCTTGACTCTAGGAAAAGTAGTTCAGAGCAAAAAGTTTACACATATAATCAGAACTTATTCCAGCTAAATACTAATTGACACAAACACGCATCCGAAAAAATTAAATACAAAAAATAAAAAAGGAAAGAAAGAAAGTCAAGAAAATTCAAATACTTTATGTTAAGGTCCAGATTTCTTTCAAAGTAAAAAAAATAATGGCTTCCTAAAAATAGCGTCAGACAGAAAACAGTTCAACAAACTTTGAATGGCAATGTACATGCAAAGTCTGAACAGCAATACTAGTAATTAAAAATTAAGAAAAATAATTAAAAATACTGCTAGTCCAGTTGTTGTCTCTCCCTCTGAGGCTCCTCGCGTTTTTGCTTTGACAATAAAGTGGTATTATCAGATCGAAATAGCAAATCAATGAAGCTTGGAAAAATAGGAAAAAATAAATAACAGAAGAAAATAAAAAAAATCGCCGTCATGCGGCAGAAAAGGAACAACTTCTGCAATTTTATCAGCTACAGGTAAATGTTTTGACTTCTGCTAAATCAAAAGCAGATCCAGTAGGTAACTATCATAAAAATGGTATACCCAATGCTAAGTGATTTATCAAACATTTCTCAAGTTCCCATGACGAGTATTGCTATCGCTTTGTGATTGCCGACACCAGCTTGTTTGTTTTTACCTTTAATTCAATCCATTGGGATAAATCAGAATAGTTCGGAATATCTGTTCAGGATAGTACTGGAAAAAATAGGGATATTTCTCTAAAAATCTGTTTACATCCGGACACATCAAGTAACATGGGAAATTTTGTGTAAAATCGGATTAATCGGTTGAAACCAGGATAAAGCCAGATCAAGCGAAATAAATCGGGATAAATATGGATGTACCCGGATGAATCACAATCAATAGGGATGAAGTGTCAATTAACGTGATCTAGCAGAATTTCTGAATTCTAAGATCAATAAAATATCAAATCATTTATTCCATTAATTTTTAGGGGAGAACGCAGTAGTGTATTTCCTTCGGAAAATACACTACTGCGTTCTCCCCTGATGTCAGACCTGGACCAAAGACCATGTAATGAGCATCGATCATTGGTCGCAGATTACGAATATGCATGCCGTTTGAATTCATGTATATATATATATAAAGATAAAGAGTTCACGGTTGTAATAATTAATAATTAAACAAAAATCACGAGTACTTTCCAACCTTTTTATTACATTTTGCAATCTTCACACTACATTTTACACACCGACGTTTTGGAGACAATTTTCTCCATCTTCAGGGCAGACGAGTTATTCATAACTGAACGAGGAAAAAACACAGAAACCCAGTCCAGTCGCAGCAAGAGACCAGTTTAACGATAACAGGAGACATGACAAACATCAACACAAACAATAACAACGAGCCCCCGCCGCAGAGAGGTAGTAGGTACTCATACAGAATGAAAGTTTTCAGAGATTAGAAAAATATTCCTCAAAGTGAGCAAACTCAGTTCTAGAATTTATAGCATTTTGGTTATTTAAAATACATAACCCCTCCAAATTCAACCTAATGTGTTCATTCTTCTCTCTCTTCAACACCCTGGTGTTATTGAAATCAAAGGAATGACCCTTTTCTCTCATGCGTTGCTTTAGCGCTGTCACCTCATGTTGATCAAACTTATGCCCATCCAGCCTTTTATGCAGGTATTGGGATGACTGCCCTATACAGGGTGTCTCACAAAAAACGAGCCACCTTGAATATCTGCCAATTGCGTCGGAATTTCGAAAAACTGTAAAAGACGTGTTCGTTTATATCGAGGGGGACACCTTTTGGCGTATTCGACATTTTCCCAAACCGCGGGAGGGGCGCGGGGCGGGGGGTGCCCCACCCGTAAGTCGAAATTTTCAAATGGCGCCCCTACTTTTTTATTTCAGAAATCAATTTTACGCAAAATAACAAGCCACCCTGTCCAAACCGAATGTAAATCGGACAATTTTTCAGTGATTGACAGAGTTTGAAACATTTTTTTCATGCTCTTTTCAAAAATTTCCCACGCCCAATAGAATTACTGTATCAAAGCAAACTCTCCGCCAAAAAAATTCTTAAACATTGCACTTTCAATAATAATAATAATAATAAAAAAAAAAAAAAAAAAAAAAAAAAAAAAAAAAAAAAAAAAAAAAAAAAAAAAAAAAAAAAAAAAAAAAAAAAAAAAAAAAAAAAAAAAAAAAAAAAAAAAAAAAAAAAAAAA